GCCCTCCCCATCCCCAGTGTGCCCGTGAGCCAGTGGGGTGGCCACAGTTACTCTTGGCTGTCTAGAAGAGCTGGGGATTTAGCTCAGGGGTCTAAAGCTTTCCCAGCACAAGACCCTGAGTTTGGTCCTCTCAACTCTGGGAAAAGAAAGAATATAGACATCCTAGGGATGGCCATGACAGAGACCAACGCTGCACACGAGGGGGCCTGAGAGATCAGCTCCCTGTGGAACGTGTCAGGACCATGACAGAGGTTGTGGAAATAACAAGGTTCTTGCCAGGTAGTGGTATCGCATGCCTTTAATCACCCTGAGTTTGAGGCCAGCCTGGTCTACAGAAAGAGTTCCAGGACAGCCAGAGCTACACAGAGAAACCCTGTAGTACGGGTTCTAAGTGGTCTTAATAATAAAACCCGGAGTCAGATATTAGGGGGTGAAAGCTGAAAGACCAGAGAAGCAGAGCAGTTAGCCACTACTTCTTACCTCTACCAAATCCTCGGAACCAAAGCACAATATCCTGTCTCCACGAATCCTCAGACCGAATGCCATGAACTCCTGTCTCCTCCTGACTTATCTTCCTCTCTCCAACCGGTCATATCACTCCTGTCTCCACCTCCCTAGAGCAGGGATTAAAGGTGTGAGCTCTGTTTCTCTTTTAGAATGATTTAATCTTGTGTAGCCCAGGGTGTCCTTGAACCCACAGAAATCTGTCTGCCTCTGTCTCCCAAGCGTTGGAATTAAGGTGTGTGCCACCACTGCCTGGCTTCTTTGGCTAACTTGGGCCAGGTATACACAAGCAAAGGAACAGGGGCCAGAGCTTCCCCACTTCCTGCCCCAGCCTCATCTGACCCTTCCTACCCTGGCCAGGCTCTGAAGGCCCAGGAAACCCCTGAAAACATGGAGAGAATCAAAAGTCCAAAGATGAGCATCAGCCTTCTCCAGGATACTGTGGTACACAGGAAGATGAGACAGAGGCTTCCTGGGACCCCACTGGGGACTTCCTGTCCTTCAGGGCCTCCCAGCACACTCATTCCCTCTGCTAGGCTAGGGTCCTCCTTGTGTACAGCTCCAGGAGGTTCATCTTCTGTCCCCTGTGAGTAGCCAGCTGGAGGGTCAAAGTCCTGAAGAAGCCCAGAAGTTTCATCAAACATCTGCCCTGCCTGACAAGAACAGAGACCAAAGAGAACTAGACCCCCATTTCCTAGGCAGATTCCCCCAACCCCTCCCAGATCCACCCTCACTTGCTCACACCTTCATGCCCTCTTTTTTAAAGACATTTATTTATTATTTATTTAATCTATGAGTATTTTTCCTATGTATATGTGTGTATGCATGCATGTGTGTCTACTATGTGTGTGCCTGGTACCCATGGAGGCCAGATGAGGGTATTCTAGAACTGTAGTTAAGTATGTTTATAAATGCGGCTGCGTGACCCCTGACGGTGGCTGAGGCTGCGCGACGTGGGACAGCTACGCCATGGCGGATGGACGAAGAGCTCGAGGAGCTGAGGAAGCAGAGGCTAGCGGAGCTGCAGGCCAAGCACGGGGATCCTGGTGATGCAGCCCAACAGGAAGCAAAGCAAAGGAAAGCAGAAATGAGAAACAGTATCTTAGCCCAAGTTCTGGATCAGTCAGCCCTGGCCAGGTTAAGTAACTTAGCACTTGTAAAGTCTGAAAAAACTAAACAGTAGAGAAGAACTACCTTATACAGATGGCTCGGTATGGACAGCTAAGTGGGAAGGTGTCAGAACAAGGTTTAATAGAAATACTTGAGAAAGTCAGCCAACAGACAGAAAAGAAAACAACAGTTAAATTCAACAGAAGAAAAGTAATGGATTCCATGAAGATGATGATTACTAAGAGGAAATGTTTAGACTTGCGGAGCAGTGTCAAGGGCAGTTACAACCTTTTAAAGGTTTACTTTGTTTATTGTCTATATATGCTTTTTTTAATATTTATTTTTTTATTTATTATGTATACAATATTCTGTCTGTGTGTATGCCTGACGGCCAGAAGAGGGCGCCAGACCTCTTTACAGATGGTTGTGAGCCACCATGTGGTTGCTGGGAATTGAACTCAGGACCTTTGGAAGAGCAGGCAATGCTCTTAACCACTGAGCCATGTCTCCAGCCCTCTATATATGCTTTTTGAAAAAATAAACTTGTTACTCAAACTAAAGCAGTTTGAGTTTTTCAGTATCAAAACAAAACAACAAAAAAAGAGAGAATGTTTATAAATGCAAGGTGGTGGTAGTATACACATTTAATCCCAGCACCTAAGAGGCAGAGGCAGGCAGATCTCTGTGAGTTCAAGGCCAGCCTGGTCTATAAAGCAAGTTCTAGGACAGCCAGAATTGTTACACAGAGAAACCCTGTCTCGGGTGTGGGGGGGGGAGGGGTGTTTATGTTTATAAGCCACCACGTAGGTGCTGGGAACTGAACCCATGTCCTCTGGAAGAGCAGCCAGCGCACTCAACCACTGACTCATTCTCCAGCCTGGCAGTTCCCTTTCTGGTCATGCTCACGCAGGGATATGAACTGATGGACTGATCCAGGGGTTGTCTAGTGAGACGAGTGTCACTCTGGGTGACACATGAGGGAGAAGAATGGCCATGGCTCCCCCAACACCTTCCCACTCCTGTTAGGTGAGCCAGGGCACAGAGGCCACCGCCTGTGGTATGAGCGATGGCTTCCAGTTGAGCGCTAATGCGTAGGAAGAGTTCAGTAGCTGGTGTTTGGCACCCGGATGCAGGAAGAACCCAGCGCCACTTCTGGGAACACAAGACATTTAAGTGACTTCCTTGATGAATATTTCATGATTTACATTAATGGCTTTCTGGTGTTTTTCATAACAAAACTCTCCACATTATGATGGGTTAAATGTGGTTATTCCGGCCACTGTCTCTCTCTGAAGTCCCTCCCAGAGCCAGCAACAGTGCCCCTGAGCCCTCTGCCAGGCTCTCCCCCAGACTCCCCTTCTGTGGGGAATGGTGCGATGTCCATCACAGCTGCGACATAAGATGGGGCGGCTGTAACAGCTCTGTGCCCCATAGATGGCCAGGGCCGGGGTTATGACTCGGGCCAGCTTACAAAAGAAGTCTGGAGTCTGGGACTGGAGGAATCCACACAGGATCTGGTCCACATGTCCCAGCCTATGAAGTGCGTGGCTTATCCACGTTACACCCCAGAACTGCCTGGTACCCATGCTCCCAGGAATCTAGTCTCTTTCATCCGGGTCTGCTGTTTTCACTTGCTGTCCATCCTGTGCCGGGACAGCACGTGTTGTATCCAGTATCCCCCTAGGTTCCACTTGGCTATACCAACATCTCAACCATTCTTTCCTTTGGTGGCCTTGCCGCTCAGAGTGCATCTGGGCAGGGGTTTTCTCTCCCTTTGGCTGGGTTCTCCCTTCATGACTACGGGGGTTGTCCTGCAGAGGCCGCCCTCATCCCACCCTGCCAGCGCAGCCTGTCATTTCTGTTGTCAACCTTGCTCTCCTGGCAGGCCCTGTGCCAGGCTACTCTGTGGGAAGTGCCACCCCATTCCTGGCCCTAAGAAAGTAAATAACTGTGCCCCCACATGTGAGAGGTGAGCAACCAAGTGCCTGAGTGACCTGGAACTCTCTTCTGTGTGAGAGAGAGATTTGTCTCCGATCCCCCACTCACCCCTTCCTTCGCTCACTCCATGTAGCACAGACCCAAGGTGCTCATGTACTCCAGTTACAACCCAGGCCTTCGGCTACTCTGGTTCCACCTGCTTCCATTCTCGGCCTTTCCAGTGGGCTCCTGCGCCCCTTTACACAGGCATAACTGTCCCCCCCCCAAGGATTTCCCAAATACGTAATTTTACTAGTTTTAATTGCAGCTATACAGCGTGTGTGCGCGTGCGTGCACACACACACAGACACACAGACACACACACACACGGTATTCGTTATTGTGACTGGATGCACAAAGTCTCCAGGGCTCATCAATGTTGTAAGAAGCATCAGAACTCCTTCCTTCAAAAGGCTAGCAATTCCCAGGAATTTCCCAAAATTATAATAAGATATGTGTATTAGGCCTTTCTTCCTGGTTCCAGACACAAGTGTCACAGAGATAAGAATGACTCTGGGAGGCTTAAGGAGGTGCCTGCGGTTTGGGGACCCTCCTTCAGAGTGAGTGTTCTAGGAAGAACGGCTGTTTCTTAGAGAGTTGGGACTGCCACCCTCTTGAGTTCAATCCCCAGGACCCATATGGCGGAAGGAGATAAGCAACTCCCACAAGCCATTCCCCCGAACTCCACATGCGCACTGTGGCATGGCATGAGCGTACCCAAACGTACATACCGGGGCACCTGTGAACAAAGTCCTGCAAACAGTGCGTGGGCACAGTAGACACAGGGCCCTTTTCTGTGACCCTACTTAGAGCTGCACAGGAGGAGTCAGGAATGGCTTGCTTTTGCCTGGGTGAGGTCTGCCAAACCCTCAATCTTTGCCCCTGGACAAGGTCCCTTCCTTCCTTCCTTCCTTCCTTCCTTCCTTTCTTTCTTTCTTTCTTTCTTTCTTTTGTTTGTTTTTCTTTTTTTTTTTTTCAGTGCTCCCGTGGGAACCGTCAGAGAATCTGAGAGGTGCAGCGGCTGCATCGCACTTGTGACAGTGACGCGGATGTCAGCTCTCAGGGGACAGGTGTCCATGGCTTCCTGGATGAGTTGAGAGACTAGTCTCCTGTGTGCACGTGGTCCTGGCTGAGGCTGTGAGGTAATTGCTGAGACTGCTGGGCTATCTCTTTAGCACCATATTTGAGGACATGGTATAGATCTGGGCCATACATTTTTTAAATATTTATTTATTATGTATACAATATTCTTTCTGCGTGTATGCCTGAAGGCCAGAAGAGGGCACCAGACCTCATTACAGGTGTAAGCCACCATGTGGTTGCTGGGAATTGAACTCAGGACCTTTGGAAGAGCAGGCAATGCTCTTAACCGCTGAGCCATCTCTCCAGCCCACTTTTTGTTTGTTTTTCAAGACAGGGTTTTTCTGTGGCTTTGGAGCCTGTCCTGGAACTAGCTCTTGTAGACCAGGCTTGCCTCGAACTCCCAGAGATCCGCCAGCCTCTGCCTCCCGAGTGCTGGGATTAAAAGCGTGCGCCACCACCGCCCGGCCGGTCCCTTCCTTTCTTCCACCAACTGTGCGAACGTCACAATTGGCAGAAAAGACAGCACTCAGTCACTGGAATGAAAGCACAAAATAGCCACTGTCCATGACTCCGGGTCTGAGTGGAGCTTCAAGGCTAGACAGAAGCTCAGGCTTCTCTTTAGGGGACCTAAGCCATGGGGGATGGCAGGGACCCACTCCCACCTACAGGTGGCAGTAACCTATTCTAACCCAGAGGCCCATGAACACACCTGCTCTTCCCCTGGAACACCTAAAGATTTAGCTTCTAGAAATGTCTCTGCTTGGTAAGAGGTCGGGTCCTCCCACTAGAGCATTCAGGGATCCACCCCCTTTTGGTGTCCAAACAGCCCCTTCCTGAACCGAAACCCCTGCTGGAGACAAGGTGTCACCAACCTCACTGTCTCCAGTTGTTGTGCCAAAGTGGACAGGACCAGCTCACAAGAGGAACTGGGAGGGATGGGTTTCCCTTCAAGCCACCACATAAGCCTCCTATACCCTGAGTGCCCTTAGACAGCTCATGAAACCACTGAAGCAAGTGTGTGGGCACTGCCAGTGAAGCCCAGCACTCAGAGTCTTGGTTCCCACAGTGACCACAGCAAGCACCCACTTGGTCCCTGTGAGATAGTCTCTAGCCTGGGCAGCAGAAGTGTGGCTGTCCAGGAGAGTCACACTCTCACCAGTGAGATAGGAAACTGAGGCAAAGAAGGGATAGGATCATTTGCCTGGGTAGTCCCAAATATTCATTCCTCCACCAACCCCAGCCACCTTATCCTTCCAGTAAAACCAGTCAGCTGGCCCTGCCCAGTTGGCACTTCTGGCCTAAGCCTAGTAGCCAAGCTGGTATCACCAGCCTCTGCTCCTTGGGCAGGTCAGGACACATGAGCTTCATTCATGCTCCCTGCTGAGGAGGTGGCAGGGACTCAGTGTTCTCCTGGTGCCCAGCCAGACAGCATCCCTGTCCTGTACCTTCCCATCTCAAATGCTGAGTCTCAGGAACTACACATCTCCCAGATACACACAGCACACAGTCCAAACCCCAGGAACACTTTTGACTTGAAAGAAGGCTTTATAGGTAGGGGACCTACAGGCTTGAAGGAGGAGAGCAGGAGCCCCATGTGGGAAGCCAGGCCACCCCTGACCCCTGGCCTAAGCAGTGGAAAGTAGGAACATGAGCACCCTCCACCCCCACAGGTTGTCATAGAGACACTCAGCACTGAATTCTTGGCACTGAGCACGGCTGTGGCTGTAACCAAGGGTTCTCTGGAAGTGTCCCCTGGATACCCTTTACTTCAAGTGCTGGGCCCTACAGAGCTGTGGGCATTCACCTTCCTTCTGAGGGGTCACCCTGGGAGGTATTGCCAAGCTGGTCTTCTTCTAGAATCTTCCATCTGCCTCTCCCACTGTGCCATCCTCTCCCTTTCTCCTACTTTACCCTGCCCTGGCCTGTCCTCCCCTGGTCTGTCTTCTGTGGTCCCTTTAATGACATTGCACTTAATGGACACTCCACAGGGGCCCAGCCTCCACCATCACCTGGGAGAAACATTCCTAGGATGTCTATCAGGTCCGGGTTCACAGCCTGAGAAAATGAGACTACAAGATGCGTGTGGATATTCTATTCTTGAATTGGAAGCTATGGTTTAGACATTGGTCAGGGCTTGTCTGGGTCACCGGGCCCAGGACTGCAGGGTCAGAGCTGTCACAAGACTCAACAGCCTTGCTTCTGTTTGAGGAAGGAGGCTACACCCCAAAGTGGGCAGACGTTGTCATTCAAGAGGCAGGCTAGGACTGAGCAGATGTCAAGGTCATGGGACCTCATGACTAATGGAATTCCAGAGTCGCAAAGCCTTGGCACCAACACACACACACACACACACACACACACACACACATGAGTTGACTCTACATTTTGTCCCACTGAAGCCAAGAAACCCTTGGAACTCTTTTTAACTCCAGGCCCAGCCATGAACCTGGGTATTAAAGGACAACCTACCTCCCATTAGTCAGATACCCCACCAAAGAGCAAATGCATCCAGATTCCCCAGGCAGCAATGACCCCAACAGCCAGGAGGAGGTAACCCCAGAGAGGTCTTCTCTGTGTAGTCGTCTCAGAGTTGAGTGGTACCAGTCAGCTTCCCTAAGGAATAAGACAGCTAGGGAAAAGGAGAGATGCTGATGAAACAAATCCCATGCCTGTAACTGTGACCAGCTCTGAAATGGGTTGCTAGCAGAGGCTGGAGAGAGAATGTTCCAGTAAAAAACGGTGCCCTGTAATGATCCTAGCCCACTTCTCTAATTGCACGTCTCCACCAAGGGAAGAGAAAACAAACAGGGGTGAGGAGCCAAGCAGCTAGAAAGGCATCATCATCCCTGCCCACCCTCAGCTGTTGCTGGTCTGCCCCTGTTAAGACCAGGACTACTGCTATAGTATGACCCTGGGCATAGCCCCCAAATATACCTAGGCCCTGGCCAGTGGCGGCCTTTCTCTAGGGTTCTGGGGGACCCCTTCCTTCCTAGCCTTGCTGGGGCAGGGCATTTCCCAAGCCGGCACAGAGTGAAACTGAGAATAATTTCTAATTAAATAAAGCACAAACCGGGGGATTGTAGAGTGATTTCCCAAACCAGTTGGATCTTGAAGAACAAACATCCCGTTACTGTCACTTCTGCCAAGTGTACACATCCACGAAGCAGGGCAGACAGGAGCCAGTGATGAAGCTGGGCCTTTCCGGGCACTGCGCTTTGCCGAAGCCACTTTATGGAGCTCCTACCGGCAGAGGGAAATGACTGCTGCCAGCCTGATTTATTTGCCCCGACACTTTACAGCACTTCAGATTAATAAAAATATTTAATAAAGAATCAAGATGGTTTATCTGTAATGCAAAGAGAATCACATTGCCTATGTTTTTATTACTGAAAAATTGGAAGCAGGAAGAAATAATGATATAAGCCACTGTGTAAATGACAAAAATGCCCATTCTAGTGGCGTGCTTTGCACAGCAGCCTCGCTCTGCCCTGTAAACATAATGTATGGGTCGTCTCTTCGCGTGGATTCCGCAGTCTGCTCACCGTGGAGTTAATATCGCCCCGCTCTCTCTGCGGCGCAGGGAAGTGATTAAATAAGAAATAAATTTGGCTGTCATTGCATTTAAAATCAAATCAAGGATCATTTGTTACCCCAAATGAAGCTGTTCTCCTTCCCTGCCCGTGAGTAGGCTGCTGTTTGCCGAACCATTAAGAGATGTGTGTACAGTAAACCGGCGCGTAATGGCTTGTACTATAACATGATCTTTATGGGGCTGCCACACCAGGCTGAGCTGGAGCCCAGAACAGCACATGGCTTTTTTTTTTTTTTTTAATTTAAAGTTATAGGTGTGAGACCCGGCAGGCTCATTTCAGATCCATCTGAGTCTTGTTGGCAGAGGTCCCAGGCAAGATGGCAAGAGGGCTACTGTCTCGGCACCCCTGTCCCTCCCCGTTTATCAGCTCATGCTAATTGAGGTTCTAACTGGCCCTACAAGGTGGGAGGAAGGTTCATCTCCTGGGGCAAGAGCCACAACAGTAGCAAAGGGGTCTCAGGACTCAAGAGTCTACCTGGTGCGTGGTGGGGATTAAGCAGCACATCACTTCAGAGTTTGGGAGTCCTAGACAGGCCCCTCAGGAGCCAGGCCCCTCCAGGCTCTCACACAGTGAGCAGGGCACCTCCCATCCTGCTTTCCTCAGCTTCCAATGAGAATAGTTGGGCTAGCTTTAGTGTACAAAAGAGTCAAGCCTGAGGTAATGTGCTGAGCCTATACCTTGGGCTTGCCTGTCTCCAGCTGATAGTGTAGGGCGGGAGCCAGAGGGAGCAGACTCTAAGACAGGTCCAAGTCCTGACCCCCACCCAGGTATTCAGACAGTGCTTTCTCTGGGTTTGGTTGTCAGACATATAATGTCAGACACTAGTTGAAATCCAGCCACACTGAATACAGAAGACCTTGACTCTGCTGTGACCAGTGTCCTCAGGATACGACCACACAGAGACAAGGAAGCTTCTGTGCAACAGAGGCACAGACAGGAAACTAAGAATACAAGGGTACCCAACACCATGGGGAGCTGAATGAGGAGGAAGGGTGTCTTCTAGTGCCTTCTGTGACTGTAAGGCTTCTCTCAAAGGGACTTGGGACACCTGGATTTAAGGGAGGAGCTCTCAGCACCCAAATGCGCCCCAGGTAGCACAGGCCTCTGGAAACTAGGTGTCCCATACTGCTAGTCAGGCCTTGAGAAGCACCACCATTGAAGGAGCGAGTGAGTGACAGCAGTAAGAGGTGAGTTAGTGAAGGAATGGGTGGCTCTTCTTTTTCCAGCCCTCTGCCCTCATCTCGTCTACAAAGCCACCTCTTCCAGCCCAGCCATGTGGTATGTAGGATACAGGTTCCTGCCTGGGTCAGGCTACAGGGACCAGCAACAGGACTTAGCTGAGCTAGAAGCCAGCTCTGACACTCAGGGTCTGCTGGAGAGTACCTGGTAGGTGCCCTTGCCATGGCCTCTGCTGCTTTCTTTAGATGTAGGGAGCACCCCTCATGTCCAGGGAAAACTTAGGGTGAGCCCACCTTTGCTGGGCTCTGCCCCCACACATCCAGCCCAACACAGCTTTTATTCCCCACTCCTGATCCACACAAACTGGGGAGAGGAGACGCTTTGCTGGGGCAGACAGGCTGGAAAAGTTCCTGGAGGTGACAGCCAGCCCATTCCTTAGCCGACAGCAGAAAGGACCCCACTACTGGCCCCTAGTCTGAGTCAGCCTTCCCAGTTCCTCCACTCTTTGCATCTCCTATATCTCATGCCCTTACCGTTTCCAATTGTTACCTTTGCTCAGCTGTGGAACGCAGGTGTGCTCCATCTCCAAGTCTCCATGCTCCAAGCTCCCCCCTCGGCTTGAGACCCGACTGACATCTGAGTTGGGACCTGAGGGGAGCAAGCTTCATACCAGGGAAAAGATTCAGTGCTGGTCTGGTTCTCTGGCTTGTCCCCTCAGGGCAAACCTTCTCCTGCCTGCTCCTGGACACCCTCCCGCCCAGCCTCTGCCAGTTACTCCAGGGCCAACCACAGTCCACACCTCCTAGCCAGCCACTCCCAGTTGCAATTGTGGGCAAGAAAATTGGCTAAAAGCCTATGAAGTCCAGATGGAGCAGAGGCAGGCTTGTCCCCTGCCCTAGGCAAGCCCCCAGCTAGCCTGAGATGGTGAGGATCCTCCAAGTAACCTCATGGCCTGTGTGGCCTGGCTACTCAAGCCAGTTCAAGAGCTTTCTGCTTCTGCCTCTTGTGTCCTGGCCAAAGATTCTCCACCTCTCATGGTCCCTCCTTCTTGTTCAGGAGATGACCCCAGGACCTCCCACGTGGGGATACTAAACAAGGGCTCCACCCTGGAGCCACAGTGCTGCCTGGGATGCTTCTTTCAAAGATGAATTGGCACACATTTCCAGTCGGTCCCCCCTTCTCCCTGGTGTCTAGACGCCGCCTCCACCCAGAAGTGTCTCTACTGGTGTAGAGTCTGCAGAGGACACACTGTAGGTAGGGTGCAGCCAGGGGCAACAGAAGGGGTGTGCAAGGGCCTGGAGGAGGAATGCACTCGCTGGCTCTGGAGTCACCGCAGGCAGGAATGCCAGCCCTACCTGGTGCAGCATTGAACCAGAACCTTTCCTGGAAAGTGGGAGCACCCTGGTGTCTACTCTGAGGGGCTTGTGGAAGGAGATTCTTAGGCTACAGGGACACACGTCTCTGCCTTCTAACCATATGTCCAGACTGAGCTCTGAGCTCTGATCCCAGCCAACACAGAGACTCTCACCACTCACTGGACCCTCACCAGCTTCCGTCTTCCTTGTGGGAGAGTCCAAGCTGTCGCTTTCTACCCAGGTCTGGCCCAGGACACTTTTGCCTTTTCCATTGGGGTGGACAGCAACCACTGCCACCAGGCTGGTGAACTTGGATAGAGGTTTTTCCACTGGCTGGGGAAGTGGGGTGAAGTCCCTCAGCCCTGGCCTGTTGGATGTCCCGGGCCTGTGCAGCTCAGGAGCCCGGCCAGCCAATGTCCACAGCTGTCTTTGCCAAGTACATTAAGGTTAATGTTGCCATCTTGTTAATGGCCTGCTGTGTTATAATGTGCAACATAAACTTAAAAATTAATTGCCTCACCTTCTGAAGTGACTCTAACTGCTCCTGAAAGGAAATATGGCTAATAACCGTAATTTTAACATCGATACTTATTGGGAGGTTATGTTTGATCAAATATCCTTTGTTAATTCATGATTTTACATTCTCTCTTCCCACAAGATGGGGGTGAAATCTTACTATGTGTTTTAGCCCTAACTTGAAAAAAAGCCCCAAGTCATATAAAGCAGTCTATGTGTACTCGTTGTGAGTTATGGCTACGGGTGCCATGCATGGTTACAGGGTGCCCGAATCACCCTGAGACGTGGGTGTTTCGAGTGTTCAGCTCCACAAGCACAGGCAGGCAGGCACTGTCCTTAATCACAGGGAGAGCATGGGGTGCAGAGGTGAACCCCTCTTTCCACTGTTGGCGCCTGCCAGCTAGAGTCGAGTCAGTGGGGAGGGGAAAGAATGGCCACCTGGTGACCTCTGTGGCCACGAGCCCCAAGTCAGCTTGTGGATCAGAGGCAGCTGCTGTTCTCCTCCCACCTTTCAGGTCCAGGTAGAGCTGGAACACAGAGTTGTGGGCCAGGTGAGGGTCCTGGTCCTGCAGGGTCTGAGTCACTGGGGTGGCTCCCAGTGACCTGGCTCACAAACCTGCACCTGCAAAGACCACGTAACCTGTTTGCCACGACAGAACATGGCCCAGACGGCTGGGGAGGGTTCACTGGCCCAGAGTGCTTCAGGATGGAGCGCGACAGGTATCAGAGACAGGCTGTGAGTGGTTGTTCATATCTCGGTACAGGCCTCCTTCTCAGAAGTGGGGGGAGACACAGATCTGTCCCACTTTACGAAGATGGAGTCAAGGACACAGGAGAGAGAAGAGCTGAGAGGAGAGGCTGAGGACCCAGTCCTAGAGAGAGGTATGTGTGCCTGTGTGCGTGGGGTTGTGTGTGTGTGTGTGGTGTGTGTGGTGTGTGTGTGTGTGTGTGCGCGCGCATATGACACAGCACTTCTGAGGTCATCCATACCGCTTTGTAGCATCTCTGATCCCTGAGGTTGTCTGGTGGGGTCTGCTAGATGCCAGGGCCAAGCCATCTGCAGTCCTAGCCTCAGACAGCTCCTGAGATCAGTAAACAAATCCTAGGGTTCCAGGCAGTGGTGGCGCTGCCGCCTTTGATCCTAGCACTCAGGAGGCAGAGGCAGGCGGATCTCTGAGTTCAAAGCCAGGCTGATCCACAAGAGTTAGTACACAGAGAAACCCTGTCTCAAAAACACACACACACACACACACACACACACACACACACACACACAAAAGAAGTCCCAGGGTTAACTCTAAGCCACAGAACATTTGGAAAACTAAAACAAAGGAGACATGGTCCCAGGGGTGGGCACCCCATCTCTTGTCTCTGGCAGTCACCTGCAGGCTCGGGTACCGGCCTTGCTCAATAATTCTGGCAGAGCTGCCTGCAGGCCCCTGCCTGAGCAGGTGGACTTTCATTGTCCAGAGGACAACAAATCATCCTGATGGTAATGGGGATGAACGA